CCCCTCCCGCGCGTGGGCGCCTCCGGGAGTGATGCGGCCGCGCGTCCTGCCGCCCGTCACGCTCCGAGGCGTCGGCGTGAAGACGCGGGGAGGCGGTGGGAGCGAGCGGCGGCTGTGCAGTGCGTCTGGGCGGCGGGCGCTGCGCGGTGGCTCCGCGGTCTGGGTGTGTGTGTACGCGAGTGTGTGCACACGTGTGCGTGGACCTCTGGGGTGTCTCGGCCCGGCGCGCACGCCCCTGGGGGTCCGGTGTGCCCCTGAGTCTGGGGAGTGTGCAGGTGGAGCGTGCGCGTGCAGCCGGGGCAGCCGGCTGGAACCGCAGGGTGGAGCACGGGCGCGCGGGTCTTTGTGCCCGCGTGTGTGCGCGTGGGCACCGCCGCCCGCTGTCCCGGGGACTGACAGACGTCCCGGGGTGCTGCACTGGTCCAGCCCTTGTCGCCCCCGCCTTGCTCCTTCTCGGAACCCAGCGCCCTTCCTTCCCCCCGCCCTGCCTCGCCCCTGCGCAGCAATCGGGACCTCCCCTGGGTTCCTCGAAAGCCCAGCGGGGTGCTGGGGGACCCTGGAGGCTCCCCACTCGGCCCAGCGGGGCCAGCAGCGGAACAGGGAGAGGCAGGAGAGGAGGGAGAAGCCGCGAAGATGCTGCCGCAACCGCCGCGGACGAGCCGGCACCCGCCATCCCCAACCCCACCCTGCACGGTCTGGCCTCTCCGCCCACTTCCCCTTCGCGCGCCTCCGCGCCCCCTCAGCCTCCTCCTGGAAGGCGGGTTCCCCACGCCCCTTCCAGGCCCCTGGCTTCTTCTCCCTCGCCCTGCCTCTCCCTCAGCAGGCTCAGTGTCTCTTTCTCCCTTCCACTCTCATTCCTTCCCTTCCCGGTGCCCTCTTCTCTTCTCACACCCTGGAGTCCCCGCACAGGGGCTGAGGGCCGGGCAGTGGAGGTAAGGGGGAGGACGAAAGGGGGGAGGGGGAAGACTGGGTGTGTCCTGGTACCAAGTGTCCAACCGGAGGGATGTGAGAAGAAAACACCTGTGGGCAGCAGGGCTGGGGGTTCCAAAGACCTGTGGGTGTGTAGGGATTGGAGAAGGAGGGTGTAGGGGTGTCAGGCCAGGTGGTTGATCCCCGCATCCCTGGTTCTGCCCGCAGTGACCGCAGCTCCCCAGGAGCCCCCTGCCCGGCCTCCCCAGGCGGCCAGTGGAACCGGCCGGGCTCCTGGGCGCGCCATGCGCAGCACCACGCTACTGGCCCTGCTGGCGCTGGTCCTGCTCTACTTGGTGTCCGGTGCCCTGGTGTTCCAGGCCCTGGAGCAGCCCCACGAGCAGCAGGCCCAGAGGGAGCTGGGGGAGGTCCGAGAGAAGTTCCTGAGGGCCCATCCATGTGTCAGCGACCAGGACCTGGGGCTCTTCATCAAGGTGTGTGGGTGGGTGACAGCCCCTTTGCAGTCACCTATGACCCCTGGCACTAGCTGCATGCCACTGGGGCCGTGTGCTGGGGTGCTGCTTCCAGCCCGGCACCCCTGAGGGCAGGGTGCGGCTTGGGGTGCAGGGCAGAGGCTGGGAGCCAGGTCTGTGTTTTCAATATGGCGGCCATGGGGACATTTATGTTCCTGTTGAGCCTGGCATTGGACTGCGCTCCTGGACTGTCTCTGTGTGTGATGGTGGTTAAACAAAGGGATGCATGAAGGAGGGAATGAATAAATGGCTGTAGCACATGAGATATGTTACATTTTCACACGTCTAACTCGTGGGTTTCGGACTGCCAGATAGAATCCAGGACGCCCAGTTAAATGTGAATTTCAGCTAAACAACGAATACTTTTTCAACATAAATATGTCCCATGCAATATTTTTAGTTGGTAAATCTGGCAACCCTACTCCCGTTCTTATACTTCTTTGAAGTCACAGCTGCCTTAGAGAAGCCCAAGAACACTGTGAACACTCCCCCACCTCCCGGGAAAGTGCGCATCTAAACATGTACAGATGATTCTGGAGGGTTCCACGATCCCCTAAAGCCCGTCCATGCCACCATGGATGCCAAGTTAAGCACCCCTTCCCCCCAGAACACATGCTTATGATGTGGAGGCTAGAGGGAGGGCAAGTCAGGGATGGGGTTGGCTTTGGTCCGGGGACTAAAGAAAGTGCTAGGCTTCAGCCTTCTGGGGTACTGTCAGGCAAGCACCTCTGTTGCCCTCTCGGATTTCAGAGTCACTGTCATAAAAAAACCAAGGTTCAACTTTAATAAATTAATGTTTATTACTTTGTTGAAGAGTACCCCTCTTTTCTGCCTGTTCTTTTGGAGGGACGAGCCATGGGCATGGAGGTCTCAGTGTCCAAGCTGACTCCCAAGGGGACAGGACCCAGAGCAGAGAGGAGGGTGGGGTGGGGCCAGGACACAGGCGGCTTGACAATGCCTCTGACACTTCCAGAATGCCCAGCAAGGCCCAGAGAGGCCTGGGCAGGAGAGTGTGTCTGGCCAGACCACAGGGCAGAGGGAGGGAGGGAATCTGACCTATTTTATCTTCACAATGGAATTGCTTTTTTCTTGGATAAAAAAGAAGAAAAGGAGGCGCGGAACCTAGAACGGTGGGCGACAGCTGCTTTATCTCTCTTCCACAATTAGTCATGCAGCAATTAGGCACCGACTGTGTGCTGCGTGCTATGCTATACACCATAGCATAGGCAGGAAATTGATATGAGGATAGAACAGATACAGGCTCTATCCTGGAAGATGTCACATGTAGGCGAGGGGACAGATCAATGGAGAGACAGATCACTGTAGGATGCAGCAGGAAAAAGCTTTCCTTATTTCCTTCTTGGTTAAACATCTATTTTGGGTTGGGCCCTGGGCTAGGTGCTGGGGGCAATGAGGTAGACGCCAGGGGCCTTTGGGAGGAGCTGGTAATTGAAGTGAGGCAGGTGAGACGGGTAGAAATTAACGATGTATGATTGGGTTGCAAGAGAGTTGCAGGCAGAGGAACAGCATGAGCAAAGGCGTGGAAGCTGGAAAGCTCCGTGTTTTGCAAAACTCAGATTTCGCAGATGCCTAGTCATTTGAAGCAAAAATTAGAACACACAGGATGACAAAGGATTTTTTTTCCCCTAAGTAGTGAATTTGTTGGAAACGTCTTGCAAAATAAAATCACTTTTAATCATACATTTCACTTTTTGGCTTTATTAAAAAAGGATCATTACAGGAAATGGGATCCGCTCAGAAAATCTGGGGATGAGGTCACTGTCACTGGGATTCCCAAATGGGCATCCCAGAAGACTGGGGAAAGGGAGGTTGGGACCAGATTGGAAAAGGGCTTCAACGCTGGGCTGCGGAGTTTGGAGTCTGTTCTGCAGACAGCAGGGAGCTACAGAGGATTTTGAGCAATCGTTTTAGGAAGGTTAATTTGGAATGGATCTTGCTAACGAGGGCTGCAGTCAGAGAGAGAGGAGGTGATTTATGACCTCCCTCTCACCCACTGCTTTTGTGCCTTGACTCTGTGCTCCTGGGGGAAGGGCCCCTCTGCACCTCCTCCTCTTTATGCCCTGACCCCTGTCACTCCGGGCAGGTACTCTCAAAACACAGACTCTGCCCCCGAGACCTGCAGGCTAGCAAGAGAGGCAGACACATGGCCATTTCATTAATTTAATCACATTTATTGAGCACCTACTATGTGGCACAGGGTTTGGCTTGGACTTCAGTGCGGCGGGCAGGGGTTTGTGTGTCCATGAACCTCCTAAATTGGATGCAAAATGTGATGGTGTATAAATCTTCCTGGAGGGAGGGTCCCCAACTTCCATCAGATTTTCTAAGGCAAGGGACTCAAACTCAGCTTTCACAGGGGCAGTGGGAGTGGTGGGTTCTGTGGAAAGCTAGAAATCACGGGACGTGATTGCTAGGTGGGGAGTAATCTAACAAACGCACAGCGCTGACTTGGCTGTAAGAGCTTTACTTCTTCCCAACAACTCTGAGGTCGGTGCTGTTATCATCAGCCCCATTTGATAGATGCAGAAACTGAGGCATGGAGCTAAGTTGCCCAAGGTCACAGAACACCAAGATTTGAACCCGGGCAATCTGGACCCAGAGTCTGTGCCCCTGACCACTGTAAAACTGCAAATCTGTGAAATTAGGGGATCCAGTAACTCACAAGTTTCTAAAACAATGTGGAGGTCAAACAAAATTGGGCCACCCAATCTGCAACATCTGCTCTAAGGGCCTGCCTGCAGGGAGACCAGAGAGAAGGGGAGAGCTGGGAGGGGTAGGGAGGGAAGCACCCTGGAGACTGGAGGGCCAGGGGTTTGGCCAGGACAGGAGGGAAGGACTGAGGTTCCTCCTTCTGCGCCTTCTCCTGCAGGAAGTGGCTGATGCCCTGGGAGGGGGTGCGAACCCTGACACCAACTCAACCAGTAACGGCAACCACTCAGCCTGGGACCTGGGCAGCGCCTTCTTTTTCTCAGGCACCATCATCACCACCATCGGTGGGGGAGGGGACTGGGCATGTGGAGGGGGGCAAGGGGCGGCTGGGCTTTCTCATGGGGGAAGGCACGGGGGAAGGTGGGGGGCGTCAGGCTGCCCCTAGACCTCCTGCATGGCCCCTCTGCCCAGGCTACGGCAACGCGGCCCTGCGCACAGATGCCGGGCGCCTCTTCTGCATCTTTTATGCCCTGGTGGGGATCCCGCTGTTCGGGATCCTGCTGGCAGGGGTTGGGGACCGGCTGGGCTCCTCCCTGCGCCACGGCATCGGTCACATCGAAGCCATCTTCCTGGTGAGCTGCTCTGCGCCCCTGCCTTGGGCTTGGGATACCCCTCCGTACACGCCCGCCGGCAAGCGAGCGCGGCCCTGAGATCGCAGGAGCCTCGTGCTCAGGCTGCTGGAGGAGGGGGAGTGGGGGTTGAGAGTGGAGGTTTGGGCGACTCCTCGGTCCTGCCTACTGCCCTTCCCTGCAGAAGTGGCACGTGCCGCCGGAGCTGGTGCGAGTGCTCTCGGCGGTGCTCTTCCTGCTGGTCGGCTGCCTGCTCTTTGTTCTCACGCCCACGTTCGTGTTCTGCTATGTGGAGGGCTGGAGCAAGCTGGAGGCCATCTACTTTGTCGTGGTGACGCTCACCACAGTGGGCTTCGGGGACTATGTGGCCGGTGAGGCCACCTTTCTCGTGCTGCACTTCCTTACCCACTTTCTTCCTGCCAGGGGCTCTGCGCTCTTGCTTTTCCCTCCAAATTCCACGTGGCATTTGTGCGCTCACACGTGATTGCTCCAACCCCTACATCCACTCACGGAATGCACCCTCAGATTTTTGCACGGATGCAACACCTCATGCATGCTTACATTCTTGCATGGCTGCGCCCTCATGTGTGCTCCCACATATATTAAGTGCACCCCTCACACTTGCTCACGTTCTTGCACATGAGCAACCCCACTTGCATGTTCTTATCTTGCACACCTTCAAGTCATGCACACTCATCTTCTTGCATGCTTTCACACACTCTGGCACCTAGCGGTTGCCTCCAGGAGGGCGGATCCTCTCAATGATCTGGGAAGAGGGGCAGTGAACTAGCTGCTCACAGGCTCAACGCTTGCCCCATACTCAACTTCTTTCTGTCCTCCCTGATGGTGTCCCAGGAGCCAGCCCCAACCAGAACTCTGCAGCCTACCAGCCGCTGGTGTGGTTCTGGATCCTGCTGGGCCTGGCCTACTTTGCCTCAGTGCTCACCACCATCGGGAACTGGCTGCGAGTAGTGTCCCGTCGCACCCGGGCAGAGGTAGGCGCTCCTGGGCCGTCACCGGGGCTGGCGCGCCGGACCCTGGCAGCTGGTTGATCAGCCTGCCTCCCTTCCAGAGCGTGGGTTCCTCCAGGCATAAACGCTGTTTATCTGAAATTCGCATTTAACTGGGCGACGTGTATTTTGTCACCCTACTCGTCGCACCCGTCCCAGGAGCGGGATGGAGGCGCAAAAGTCTCTGGGGCGCCGGAGGGAGAGCCGAAATAAAACTGGGGCTTTCTAGAAAAGGAGAAGAAGGCGCTTCGGTGCGATGGAGGAGGGGAGAGCATGCCGCTGGGTGATGAGCCCGTCCCTCCTCGGGCGGGCTGAGGCAGGAGGACCAGGCGGAAAAGAGGGGTGATGCCTGATTGGCGAAGGTGGGGAGTGCGACCCGAGGCGGTCGAGACCCCCAGTCGAGGACTGCCTTTCCTCCCCGCGCAGATGGGCGGCCTCACGGCGCAGGCCGCCAGCTGGACCGGCACGGTGACGGCGCGGGTGACCCAGCGAGCCAGCCCCGCGGCCCCACCGCCGCCGGAGAAGGAGCGGCCACTGCTGCCTCCACTGCCGTGTCCAGCGCAGCCCGCCGGCAGGCCCCCATCCCCTGCGCCCCCCGAGAAGGCCGAGCCGCCCTCCCCGCCCACCCCGCCGACGGCCTCGGCGCTGGATTACCCCAGTGAGAACCTCGCCTTCATCGACGAGTCCTCGGACACGCAGAGCGAGCGCGGCTGCGCGCTGCCCCGCGCGCCACGGGGTCGCCGCCGCCCCCCCAACCCCCCGAGGAAGCCTGTGCGGCCCCGGGGCCCCGGACGCCCCCGGGACAAAGGCGTGTCCGATTAGGGGCAGGATCCCCGGCCGGGCCTCTCAAAGGGCTCCGTTCTTGCTCTCTCCCTGGCATGCTCTGCTTTTCTTCACCAAAGAGCCCTCTCGAGCGGACCTAAGCCTGGGGAGGAGGCTACGGATTGCTTGTCTGCCGCTCCCGCTCTGGCCCTCTCCTCACTTCATCCATTTCCAGACCCCCAAGGCTTTCTGTCTCGCTGTCCTGGCCGGGCCGGTCCCTCACACCACCTCACGACTGTGCCTCAAAGCCTGCATCAATAAACGAAAACAGTCTGCACCGCTGCGGGCGTGCCGGCTCCGGGACGCGTGGGTGTGGGAGTGCTTGCGTTGGGCCGCCTCCGGGGCAAGTCAGGCCTCCCGTGACCCCCAAGCCGAGGCCCCCCTCCTGCACCCCCGTCGGTCAAGGCGCAGCCCTCTGGGCTGTGCTCAGGCCGGCGTCTCTGTCTAGAGGCCACCTGGTATGGTCCAGCATGGGAATGTGCCAAGATGGGCTGTGCGTCTCCAACCTCAGCTCAGCTATTAGGGGGCTGGAGGGATGGGGGAGAGAATGGCCTCTAGTGTGGGGGGCTGTAGCTTGAACCTTCCTTGCGCGAGACCCCCCATCGTCATTCCAGACGGGACCCTGCCCCTCCCCCTTCCTGGATCGTGACCCCCTTCCTCCTCGCCCCGAGGCCTGTGGTGACTGGGACCGTTGCGGCAGAACCATGGAGGAAAAGCCTTTCAAAGTAAGAACTCTTCGCGGGCCCCCTTGCCCTGTCAGCCCCCAGACTCACCCTAGGTCCAACCTGGGTCCCTGGCTATCCTCCCACTCAGCCTTGGCTCCCGGCAGCCCCCAACAATCCCCATGCCCATGGAGTCCCGGCCCCGGCAGGGCTCAGGATCCAACCCCCCCAACTCCCCGCGACCCTCGGCCTCCCTCGTTGTATGTGGCCCACAGGCATTGGCCAAGTCTTCGGGCCGCCAGGGCTCAAGCAAGTCGAGCCCGCACAGCGACATCCGGAAGCTGTGGACCACGGCCACGCTGTCGCAGCCGAAGGTGAATGTGGCGCTGTCCAGTGTCTGCGACGACTCTGAGGCCAGCAGCGTGGGCGGCAACACCCGCCGCTGGTACAACCAGAAGGCTGGCCGCCACTCGGACATCGGCTGGGAAGACTCAGAGGACGGAGAGGACAAAGACAGCTTCAGGCAAGAGGAACTGGACGGGCACTCCTTGCTGGAGCTGCAGCTGCACGGCGGCAGCTCCCTGGGAAGCCATTTAGAGGAGGGGGACGACGATGCCAGGACCGAGACCGGTCAGTGTGGCCTCACTGGGCTGTGGGCGCCCTCAGGGCAGGGGGCTGGCCAGGGCCTCGATTTCTGTTGCTGTAAAATGGGAGGAAGCTGTAGGATCCAATTTTCTAGGATTTCCTGGGAGGGGCGCCAGCGCTGATCTTGAACGCTTTAAATCAACCATTCTTGGAGCGCCCCCTACCGGGCAGGCGTCATACAACGGTCTATGGCTATGGCACGCCGGGTACCGGAGACGCGCGAAAATGCGCACAGGCAGGGCGGTAGGACCCGGGCTTTTAATGGAATCACCGGCATAGTTGAGAGGAGGGAGTTAATTCCTTGTCTGTGGATTTGTGCTGGTTGAGAAGGTGCCTGTCTTTCATTCATTCAGTCACTGGTTACAATTTTTAAGTACCTACTTCGTGCTGGGCACTGTTTCAAAATTGTGCCCCCCACTCCCCCCAGCACTTCATCAAGGAATTGGAACCGATAACAATATAATAATTGCCATTTATGGAGTCCTTGCTGTGTGCCAGGCACTGGGCTTCCCTCGTATAATCACCTTTACACTTCACAACCTCCATAAGGGGCCATTCTTATGACTCCATTTTTCAGATGAAGAGCTTGAGGGTTGGAAAGTGTCAGTCACTGGCTCTAAGCCTCGCACAGAGGGACAGTCAGAACTGGAACCTTGGTGGGTGGGATAATAAAGCCCAGGATTTTATTTTTTGTTTATTTTTATTTTTTTAAATTTTTATTTATTTATTTTTTTCCCCCAAAGCCCCAGTAGATAGTTGTATGTCATAGTTGCACAGCCTTCTAGTTGCTGCATGTGGGACGCGGCCTCAGCATGGCCAGAGAAGCGGTGTGTTGGTGCGTGCCCGGGATCCGAACCGGGGCCGCCAGCAGCGGAGCGCTCGCACTTAACCGCTAAGCCATGGAGCCGGCCCCAAGCCCAGGGTTTTAAACCACTGTCGCATACTGTCTCCCACTAAGGTGGCACCTGGGGCTGGTCTCTGAAGGCCACGCTCCCCACCACATGCCTGGGGATCTCCTCTGCTCCAGGGAAGACCCAGCTGTCTGCAGATGACTGATCTCTCTTTTCTCTTCTTCCAGAAAGGTCTTCCTCAATGTCATCACTCAATTTCTCAAAGCACACACACCACCGAGCCTACTGGGTGGAGCAGCAGAGCAGGGTTGGAGGCACCCAGGGAGACTGGGGATTTCAGTGGGGTGGGGGATGGGCAAGCTGGGAGTTGCAGGGGTGAAGGGGTGGGGGTGGTTTATAGGGTGGAGGAGCAGGAGGGAGAAGGTGGGCGCTTCAGCGGTGGGCAGAGCTGGGGTCCCTTGGACATCTGAGCTTCTTGCTGCCTCTCCAGCTGCCGCTGCCCCTGACAGAACTCATGGAGAATGAAGCTCTGGAAATCCTCACCAAAGCCCTCCAGAGTGAGCCCTTCCCGCAGCTCCCACACCAGACCCTGGGGGATTGCGCAGGGCATGGGACCCTAGGGGTGGGGTTTCAGGATGTGTTTGCCTTGTCAGATTCCCTTACCACTCACAGTTTCCAGAAATGCCACAAAAAGTAAAGAGTTAGGGACCCGGCACAGGGAGACCCAGTGCCGAGAGCATGGGGTGGCCATCGGGGGCCTGGGCACCAGCCTTACTGCAGCCTCTCTCTAGCTGATGTGGCTTTTCTAAGGCTGTTCCTCCACCTGCCCAATGGGGATGACAGCCTTTGTGTGGCCTTAGTCCCCTCCTGGGTGCTGTGAGGAGCCTTTGGACAGTGGATTATTTGGGTAAACTTCCCCTGGTTTGCCCTGCTTATGATATGAAGGGGGAGGGGGCCTGAGTAATGGCTTAGAGTGGGTGGTCCAGGAGGTGTCGGCAAAGCTGCCTGCTACCACTGGCCTAATTCAGGCCTGCAACATCGTCTCTAACCATGCCCCCGTCCATCCTCCATCTCAACACCACATCCTGCTCTGCATCTCCCATCTGTTTGGAGCACAGATCTATCACCTGACCATTTGAAATAAACAAAACCGGCAGGGCCCAGCACCTTGGCGATCCAAAGTTCCCCAAACTAACACAGACCCGAGCGCCAAGCGCCCCTGCTACCCCAAATCACGCGCGGTTCCTTGAATCCCACATGAAGCACCCGCTGCTGGGGAGGCCATGCCCGTGCTGGCTGCCCTGAACCGAGCTCTGTCCTCCAGGCTACCGGTCCGGGATTGGCCGGGACCACTTCCTGACCAAGCAGCTGCAGCGACACATCGAGGGGCTCAAGAGGCGCCGGAACAAGAGGCTGCACGTCTCGGTGCACTGAGAGCACCGCTTCGGGCTCGAGTGACGGCCCGACTCCAGCCCCGGTCCCTGTCCCGTCCCCAGACCCAAGCCCGACCCTGTCCACGTGGAATTTGAGCCCTAGAGAATAAAAGAGTCTGTGCATGGTCAGCGAGTCAGTGCGTGGCTGCCCGCGTGAGGCGGACGCACGTGGCCCCGCCTTTCCGCGTGACCTTCACTCGGTCACCGCAGTGACCTTGAGCGTTCTCCGTCCGGGCCGTTTCGGTTCTGCCTTCCCGGGACTCGAATTCCAGGACTTCTTGCATGTTTTAGGTCTGCTTCTCCCACCCCGGATTCAGCAGCTTTGTGGGGATATTGGGTCTGCGGCTCAAGTGCCCCAATGGTGTTATCTTGGGGAAGCGGGGAAAGAGAAAGGGGCAGCGACTCCTCTCAAGCTAGGGCACGCTAGGCCCCGCCCCTCATGCATATGCAGATACACTAGTCTGGCCGCTCGCCCCGCCCCTCATTTACATATGCATATCGTCTTCCCGTCCTGCAGCGGCGGCCACTGAGCGACCTCGCCCACTCCTCTCGCGCACAGTGCGCCCCGCCTCCTCCGTTACGTAAGAGCGCTCCTGGCCCCACCCCCTCCTGGAGCCTGTCCGCGACTCTCTGGCCACGCCCCCTCGGCGGCGCGTACGCAAGTGGCTCGGCGGCGGCGGGGCGGGACCTACGAGAGGGCCTGTCCGCGGGCCTCGCCGGCTCCGCCCCGCCCCGCCCCGCCCGCGCACGCAGGCGCTGCCCACCCCACTTGTCGGATTAGCATTGGGCGCCAGGCCCCGCCCCCTGCTTTGCATGCGCACGGCCGGCCCCGCCCCCGCTGTCAGCTGGAGGAAGCAGAGTAGGAAGCGGCCGCGATGTCCTTTTGTGTCCTACAAGCCGCCGGCGGCGCCGCCGAGTGAGGGGACGCGGCGCGGCGGGGCGGCGCGGCC